TGAAACATCCATCAGTATGGAAAACTGGATAACATATATAAGAAATCTAAAACTAGTTCGTGCTCAATTAACTATGTAAGTACTCCTACACTAAATAAATTGCAATACTTCTCAGATATGATACCTTTTTATCTTGCCCAGACATGTTCACCTTAAGGCCTCTACACAGCCAATCCTAATCTTTCTATTTCTTTTTTGTCTCATTCTTGTATTTGATTATAAAATAAAAATTTTATTTTTGTCTTTGTGATTATATTTACCTGGAAACAATTAGCCAATCATTTTTTGAGACATGGCATAACTTTCTTATAGAAAAACACAAACACTAGTCAAATCAGTAAGCCTATTTATTAAGGGCCTACTGTGTGAAGCACTATGCTAGGTGCACTGAAATATTTGAAGATGTATGTGCCAGGTCCTTATCAACAAGACATGCACCAAGAATACAAAAACAAAACCTATTATTACTGATCTTAAAATAAAGTGTCAGACTAACGTGAGAAGAATAAACCCTATACCAGAGGCAGGAAGAAGCAACCCATGAGTCTGTACCCCTGCATCCACAGAAGCACCCCAGCAGCTGCCCTGCGGGTCTCTAAGGGTGGTGCTATCTACCTCCTTCCTTCCTTTTTTGTTAAGATTCTGTTTAGACTGCATGGTATGCTGATGGCAAGAAGCTGTATGAGTTGAAAGTCATAAACTTCTCATAAAGTATATCCGTATGAAAAGTATTAGCAATAAGAAGATAACATTGCTGCAAAAATTCAACTGATTTGTCACTGGTGCTAGACTTATTTTATAAACATAAGAGAGAGTTCTGGCAAACAACTCTTCTGAGTAATCCAGGTCAATGCAGTTTTATTATCAAGAAAAAAAAGGATGAACAATTTTTATGTCTTCTTCTGCAGGCTGATTATAATGTCTCCAAAAGGTTGACTTAAAAATAAATTTAAGAGCCGTCTCCGTGGCTCACTCGGGAGAATGTGGTGCTGGTAGCGCTAAGGCCGCGGGTTCGGATCCTACATAGGGATGGCAGGTGCACTCTCTGGCTGAGCGTGGTGCTGACAACACCATGCCGAGGGTTGCGATCCCCTTACCGGTCAAAAATAAATAAATAAATTTAAAATAAGATAAAAAAACACACTAAAGAACAACACAATAAAAGACATATGATAAAAGCAAGGCAAAGGTCAGGAACTAACATGATCCCCCATCAGGACACTGGGCACTTTGAGTTTAGAGTAGGCCCAAACACCAGTAGACATATTCTAGGCTTACCTCCCTGGGATGAGGCTTTATTAAATGGATTCTGGACACATTAAGGTTTCCATGCTCAGACCCCCATGTCCTATCCTGACAGCTCTAGTCTACAATCCTACAGAAATTCAGAAGGAGACCAAAGATAAAATACTCACTGCAATGGAAATAGTTGAGGAGAGGAATTGTTTGAAATTATACATGTCAGAAGTGAAAGGCCCCTTAGAGAAGGCCTCGTCCAACTTCCCTTTTCTTCCAATTGGGGAGAGTGATGATCAGAGAAATGACCTAACTTGGTTAATTAATTAGTGGCACATGCAGGGCTCCACACAGCTATCCAATCCCTGTCTAAAGAAACTTAGGGCCGGCCCGGTGGCGCACTGGGTAATGTATGCTATACGAAGTTATTACGAAAAGAATGAAATTCTCCCATTTGCAACAACATGGATGAGCTTGAAGAAACATATTGAGCGAAATAAGAAAATCACAGAGGGATAAATACCACATGTACTCACTCATAATTGGGAGCTAAGAGAGAAACAAGGAAGGAAAGAAAGACCACAGTGGTGCATTGGACTTGTAGAGGGAGAGAACATACTTTGTTATACAAAGTATAGTGGGGGGAAGGGGGGGAGGGTTAGGGAGGTTGGGGATAATTGGGTGGGAGATTCAGGGTACAATTGCAATTTGTGGTAATGGACATGCTGCCAGCATGGATCTGACCTTCAAATCTTGGGCATGTGGGATGACAATCAGCTTTGTATCTCATGAATATTCATAACCAAAAAAAGAAAAAGAGAAATTAAGAAAATGTCTTGACCAAAACAAAAATGTAAACACCTGATATGAAAACTTGCAGGATCCCTTAAACGCCGAGGGTTGCGATCCCGTTGCCGGTCCCCGGTCTGGTACGGGGGCGACACTGAGGGTTGCGATCCGTTGCCGGACACGGAAAAAGACAAAAAGACAAAAAAAAAAAAAAAGAAAGGAACAACTTAAATATGCTGTGAAGAAATAAAGGGATGTTTCAGATAAGAGAGAGAAAAAGAGAGTCAGTATTTGGTGTCCATGGCACGCATTCTACTCTAGCTATGTGGTATGAGGCAATTCATAGATAAGAACTGAGACTCAAGGTGGTAAAAAAAAAAAATTATTAATGGAAACAGCTTACAAGAAGCAGAGATGCACTTGAACCCAGTTTTTGCCAATCCCAAAGCACACACTTTCTTTCAAAGGCCTTTTTCAATACGAAATGGAAAACACATACAGGAAAGTACAGTGTGCTGAAAAACCTATTTGTTTTTCCCTTCTCCACCCTACTCTCTGTCCCAGAGGCTGGTGGGTACAAATTCTACCCAAAGGCTCAGGGTTCCTGGCTTCCAGCTGAGTCCTGCTAATGGGAGCCTCAGAGGAGATTTAGGCTAGAAGGAGCCTGAGATCAGGGTATTGTTCCCTTGGTTTCTTCCTATAAAGGAACCTCAGGCTTACAGTCTCTCAACAGAAATCACTACTCTTCTCAAAAAGTAGCTGACTTGACAGGGGTCTCTCTCCCAGTTTCTAGAAACAACAAAGCAATAGTCCCACAGTCCTACCATCCAGTTGTCTGGTGTCCCTCCCTCATTATTACATGCTCCCACACCCCACCAACAAGTTTTACCATCTAAGCAAGAACTCCTAAACATTTTATTTTAGTTTGACCTGCTTTCTGAAATTCATACAGATGGATTCATACATATGAATTCCTTCATGTCTGGCTTTTTTAACTTAACACTATATACATGAGATTTGTCCATATTGTATATGCCTTGTATATCATTTGTTTTTATTGTGAACAGCATTCCATTCTATGTTGACACTATAACTGACTGAGCCATTCTACAGCTGTTGAACATTTGGGCTGCTCCTAATGTGAAATTACTGTAAATAATTAAAATTTTTTTAATGTCTCTTGGTGCACACAAACATGCATTTTTACTGATTTTATACCTATGAGTGTACTCTGAGTCATAGCTTTACATGTATCTTCATTTTAGCACTTAATATCAAACTGTTTTCCACATTAAAACTCCCACCAGCAATGTACAAGAGTTCCTGGTTAATCAATATTTTCACCAACACTTCACATTGCAGTCTTTTTCACTGCAGGCATTTGGGTGAGTGGCTAATATCTCACTGTGGGTTTTTCTTTTTCCTGATTACTAATGAAGTTGAGCAGACTTGCATGTTTATTGACCACTTGGATATCTTCATTTTTGAGTGCCTGTACAGGTCTTTTCAAGAGATCTTCCCAGGCACTACAATTACATGTCCAGGCTGACAGACTCCAGCTACAAAACACTTCCTTGGGAATATCAACTCATCAGTGAGAAACAGGAAAAGAAAAGGATGTTCTATTCTCTCGGAGATTGTTTGCTAAAAGTCAAATGACCATTTCTTTTTTTTTTTTTTTTTTTTTTTTTTTTTTTTTTTTTTTTTT